ACTCTCGATTGTGAGCTGGTTCCTGGATTGAAGAGCAGCTTCCGCTTTTTCTTTTCGGTCTATGTTTGCGAACGTAGCCATCGCTTGTCGTCGAAATACCTCCCAGGTAGACAACGAGGTTTCATGGTTCTCAAACAATGTCTTTGCGAAGTCTTCCAGGGCGAAGTATACGCGACGGAGCTTCTCTCTTTCGTCCCATCCATTCAAGCTCGCCACTCTCTCGAACAGGTCCAACCAATCTTCCACGTCCTCGTACGAGTCGCCGTGCAATACTGGCGGCTGGTGCGGTTGGCTGATGAACACTTGTGCCGGTGTTACCTGGCTAGTCATAGTGGTGGCGTCCATCGTTTGACTTCCCCTTGGTGTGAAGTGGAGAGGACTGAACTCAGGTGAGTCACCTCAAAGACGGCGACTTGCCCTCTGGTGTACGTGACGATCATCAATTGAAGGGTCAAAAATCGAAACGCTGAAGCCATTTAGTGACAGTAGTTGTAAATGTTCTATCCTTCATTCAGATATCACCGCACCAAAACAGTTGACTTTGACGTGTAACACTGAGATTTACTGATGAACGCAAAAGAAACTGACACAACGATTGACAAAAAAATGAAGCGATTCCAAGAAACCCAAACGCCATTGAGCACAGCTATTGAAGAAGTTTCAAAAGAAGACGACATAGCGTTTTCGTCTACACCGTCAAAAATCGGCAAGGTCAAGGAATATTCTTATTACTATTGAATCGATTACACAAAAATTGGATAGAATTGTCCTCATCACAATCAGACCACAAAAAGGACAAAAACACAAGAAAGTACACGACACAAGCGCTGTGCAACAACTGAAAGTCTAATAGAAGAAATGTGTCATATATATGTAAACATTCTAGCATCAAACAATCCTTTACACCCACCGCCAAGCATGTAATTAGCTATGCTGTAGATACAATATCTCAATGTCTGTGAGAGCGATTGAAGGTTGGCTCACGCACCTGTCTCCTGCTTTTATGATTTCAATGCTTCAGCAATTTCACGCATGCGCTGTTAACTACTACTCATCAACACACTGGTTTTCTTAAACTCACCTGCACAGCCGCACTCCCGGCAATGGAGAGCAAGATGCGTGTATGGTGTACCTTTCAGACATCTAGCATGCTCTCTTAGACGGGTGTTGAGGTAGCATCCCGTGTGCCCAATGTACATGCACCCACGTGACAAAGGGGTGGATTACACCACTCTGCTCGCACAATCAGTGAAACGCTTAGAATGCTTTATAGAGAAACCTTCCGCGCCGACAGGGGCCTTCCCCTTCTGCCCTCTTTTGTCAACTCTCGCACACACGCTTCCTAGCTTCTTGCCAGAACGAAAGACAGTCTTTATGTCATGATGACTGGCCACCTTCTTCAAACAGTGCGACATAGCATGCAGGTATGAGATAACGACGAACTTTTTGCGGCGATCCAAGGCCACACCCGTCACTTTTTGTTCCCTCTTCAGGCAATGAAACAGTCGCTGTGAAGTGGAGGCAAGGACGAGGTGCGAGAAATCAGCCGCTTCCAAAATGATAACCTGCCGTAAAAAATCTCACCTACAGCGTGAGTAAAAAACTTTTTTAAAGCCGAACTAAGACTGGACGTGACCAATATTTTATGTACATTTTTCAATGAGTAGAGCGATAGCTTAACAGTGAATTTGTGGAACAGGGAATAGGACCAGCAAACATGGTCTCTCCGGAACTGTAATGAAAGATCTAAAAATTTCAAGACGTCTCTTCACACTTCAGAAGTAAAACACAGATCTTTGCCTAAACAATCTTAGGACCTAGAACTTGGATCAAAGACTTCATAAAGTTGACACGATCGACGAACACCAAGTTATTGTCGACGCATCAAAAAACATGTCTTTAATACCCTCGAAATCTTGCTCAAGGGTATAGTTCACATTTTCAAGAAATATGTTGCTTCGTACTAGGGCTACCTTGACCCGATACAGATACCCCATTTTTGTGTGTACCGACGCTGCTCAAATGAAATAATTCTAGAGCATGAGTAGAACCAAATCATTTATAGGAAGCTTTCAGTGAAAAAAAACCATAAGGATGATGTCCCTTTCCGGGCCATTGTTACCAAGCAGAACTCATGGCAACAAGTTGTGTTTCGCTTTTTACAGAGACATTTAGAGGCGTTGCAGTTGCTTAATCTTTTGCATACTCGCAATTAAAATGAGGTGATAAAATTGTTGGCTGAGCTGACCGTCCAGTTCTACAGCGTTGGCTGGCTGTACAGCGTTCCTTGGCTGACTTTCGAGTTGTACAGCGTTCAGCCGCGTACAGCATTGCCTGTTTCTATACGCTGAACTTCAGCGTAGACGTACAAGACCTGTTTTATTCTTTGCCACATGGTTACCTCATGAGCTGCGTGAAAGAAACAATTGTTGAGGAGAATGATGTAGTAGTGTTTAGAAATAATATTGTTATTTCAGTAAAAGGCTCCTTAGAACTACTTTGGTTTTACTTATGATCTACAGTTGTTTCATTTGGGCCGAGTGCCTGCGTACAAAAGTCAGGTATTTGTATCGGGTCAACGTTAGCCTTAAATCTAAGCAATATATGTTTGGAAATGTGGACCAAACCCTTCAGGAAAATTTCGAGGGTATTGACAGGCATTTTTTATATATGTTCAGGATTACTTGGTGTTTGTCGATTAGGTCAACTTTATATAGTCTATGATCCAGGTCCGAGGAATGTTTAGGCAAAAGAGCAAAGGTCTGTGCTTTACTTCTGAAGTCCCAAGAGACAATGTCTTGCAATTTTTAGATCCTTCATTACAGTTCCAGAAGGACTATGTCTGCTTGCCTTATTCCCCTCATTCCACAAAACCACTTTTGAGCTCCCGCCCTATTTATTCAAAAGTTGTAAAAAATGAATTGACCACGTCCTGTCTTAGTTCGGCTCTAATGAAGTCCTGTCCTGGCACTGTAGGTGACAGTTTCTTACTGCAGGCTGTCAGATTGGAAGCGGCTGCTTTGTCGCGCCTGGTCCTTGCCTCCATTTCACAGCTACTGTTCCATCGCCTGCAATCTGAACAGAAAGAGGACCTTGACGCTGTGGGTGTGGCCTCAGATTGGCGAAAAAAGTTCGTTGCTATGTAATACCGGCCCGCCACGTCCCACCGTTTGAAGAAGATGGCCAGTCATTATGGCATAAACGTTCTCTTTGGTGCTGGCAAGAAGCTAAGAGCCCCGCCGCAGTGGTCTAGTGGCTAAGGTATCGGCATTTTCGATGGACGTGGGAATGCTGTAAGCCTGTGTGCTCAGATTTGGGTGCACGAACAACCCCAGGTGGTCGAAATTTTCGGATCCCTCCACTACGGCGTCTCTCATAATCATATGGTGGTTTTGGAACGTTAAACCCTACATATCAATCAAGAACCTAAGAAGCGTGTTCATGAGAGTTGACAAAAAAGTGCAGGAAGGGTAGGTCACTGTCAGTCCTGAAGGTTGCTCTATAAGCCAGTCTAAGTATTTCACTGACTAGCGAGCGAATTCGTGTACTCCGCTCCTTTGTCATGCGGGTGCATGTACAGTGGGCAGACGAGACGTTGCCTTAAAGTCCGTCTAAGCGAGCATGCTAGGTCTCTGAAAGGTACACCATACACGAATTTTGCCCTTAATAGCTGGCAGTGCGGCTGCGCAGCTGAGTTCAAGAAAACTTGATGAGGCATAATGACCAGTACACGCATCACTTAGTTCTAAGCATTTTAAGAGCGTTCCAAACAAGCTCCTAAATTACTTCAAATTTTTGTTGTTGTTGAAGCGTACCTAAAGCACTCGGACAAAAGGCTGACAAGGAGAGCGCTTACCGCCTCATCTGTCCATGTGTTTTGGGTGCGCTTCCACAAAATTCTAATTATGAACGTAATCCAACTGGCCCAACTTAGCATCTTTCTCCCAAAATACTATCCGGCGCACTGAATCGAACGCACGAGCTCTCGCTTTTCAGCCTGTGGTGTTGGTCACCACGAACGCACGCGCTTCTACATTAAAACGGCAAGCTATTTTTATACGCCATTTAACATGGGCTGTGGCGATCTCAGCATTACTAGCAAGAATGGAACAAAGAGCACTCTCGGTGCCCCGCTCATCGCAACACGCGGTCATACGCTCGTATCCTACGGGTACATTGACCCGCGGGGCAAGGGGAGGGTGGAGATTGACGCTCGTGCGTGCACGCGCTTAACTTGAGGTGGGGGAGAATTGTACACACTCGGGCTTTCCCTGGAATGATCACATTGTAGTTACCGGGCGCACAAAGGTCACTTCACTCAATGCACAGTCACCGTTTGCGAAAAGGACGTGCTTTTCAGACACAACGAAGCAACTGTAACACTTGTTAGCTCGCGCATATCTGTACTTATGAGTACGTTTCGTGCGCCATTTTTGTTTCACCAGCCCGTCAAGTGTCGAGCTGTGAACCTCGATATATCACAACCTGCATAGCTCATCAACAGGCACGCTGTTAGAAGCAGGGGCCACAAACGCTGAAAATGAACACTGTTCGAATCGAGGCCAGCTTTTTTTAAGTATAGCCAAAGAACAGTGGCGACATGAGGGGTGATCAGCCGGCTGTTCAGCAATCATTTCAGAATAAATACCACTTTCATGCAATGAATCTTCAAATATACCTTTCTCTACGCGCCATCTATGTAATAGACCTCTCACGTAACAGTATTATGGCCCATAAACACATATAAAAATGGCGCCTTTTAACACCATACAAATAGAGCTCCCTTCATACCAAATGTTTCAGTCGTTGCACCTGACTCACCCAGGTTATGTTCTAAAAAATTGCTTTCAATCATAATATAGTGCACTATTTTCTCTCCTGAAGTACTTTTCCAGACAAGCAAGCACATTTTCTGTCCTTAGCAAAGATCTAAATGTTGTCGAGGGGCCTTAAAAGCCGCTTCACTTGAATTCTATAATTTGCGTGAGAAGTCTGCTCACCCATTTCCTGGGCCCAGTCGACGACGGTGCCCGTATCGAAGCTGCCGCCTTCGGCAAGGTACGTCACCTGATCTCGGATCTTCCAGCCAACGACGGGGTAAATACCTGAGCAAGAATAAATCACTAGTCACGTGGCGTGCCTTGCAGCAACCGCCATACGCTGGTGCTTGTATCTCAGTCATTCCCAAACTGTCCATAGGCAGGCTTGATGCCGGGTAGAAAATCACGTTGTTTCAGTGGTAAAGCGTTTTTGAATATAACAGGAACAACTAGACATCACACAATGCGAATTTCCAAAATATTAGGACGTTCAATGATCCAACCCATTTAAAATGCTTGTCCCCTTCACTGTGGCACAGACCCACTTCAGGCATAATTGTTCATTGTTATCAGCCACTGCAAAAAAAATTGAATAGCATAGCTAATGCCAGCCAACTACACGAAAATTATGATTTATGGCATAGTGGGTACCCAGCAAGTGTGCTTGTAGCAGTTACTCGAAGGCTGTTTACAAACGCCAGGCGTGCGCGGAAGGCGCAGCACAGTCACAGCGAAAGCTTGAAGAGCGGCCTTTCTGAACCTTTCGAAACAATCATTGCGTGACTACTGCAGGCACACTTGCTTGATACCCACTGGAGCATTATAATAATTTTTTGTGGGTAGTAGGCCGGCATTCACTATGCTATTTTTCGTCATTTTTCTGAAAAGCATCGTATCCGCTAAACACTTGTAAGGAATTTTGCGACAATTGTTCATGCAGTGGCTAACGACGATGAGGAATTATGGCTGAAGTGGGTATGCGCCACAGTTAATAGAGGAACAAGAACAAGCTTTTCTAATGGGTTGGATCATTGGACGACCCACTCAATAGCTATTCGCATAGTGTGACAATCGTTTGTTCTTTTCCTGGTTTAAAACGCTTTATAAGTCATATTAACGCGATTGCTTTCCTGACATCAAGCCTACCTACACTCTAAGGCAAAAGGGTCTTAACAGAATGTGTGGCTCATCCTTTTGGGGACTATTGGCGCTGCCACAATCATTAATCTCGTTGTCACATTATTCTGTTTAAAGACTAACAGTACCGGGTCTAGCGGTTAGTACCCACAGACGAGCTCAAGAGGCTAACATTTAGTCTTCACATTTGCACTTTAGAGAGCAATAGTTAGCCCCAAAATTAACCTCAAAGGACTAACAATTAATCCTCTCATTCACACCTTATAGGGCAACTGTTAATCCCCACATTTACACCTTACTGGGCAACCGTTAGTCCTCACAGTTGCACTTTGCCGGACGAACGGTTGATCCACTCAAGTACCTCAATCGGATGAACTTTTTTATCACCAGTTCAAACTTTGACTTTTGTTTATTTTCTGCCAGGCCTGATACTTTTTTCGCCTGTTTTTCTGCGCAGTGAGCAACAAATAGTGCAGGAAAGAACACATGGAAAAGTAGTTAGCCACCTATGTGTAACTGCTTTCGCAGTCACAGTAATAACGAAAGACAAAAGTGAGACATCGAAATCATTTACTTTTCTACATACACATGAAGATTCTCCATTCTTTTAAGTGAATTCTTGATGAAGTGTAGAAGTCCAGTCTCGTTCACATCTTGTTCACTCCTTGTGGAGCTCATCCAATGAAAGCGATAGATGACAGGCATTGTAGACGCCAGCGCATGCAGCCTTCTCCCTGTTGTGTTCCAACAGCTGTACGTACAATAAGATAGTAAAAATAGTTAGACACACGTGAAAGAAGATGAAGATGCACGCATATGACAAGTACGTGCAAGTTAACATAAAAAACATGCATGTCAAATATGACACACAAATAACTTTACCTTCACATCTCGCACAGTCCTTCTGAAGCTGCTCTAACGAAAGAGATGGATGACAGGCATCGCAGACGCCAGCGCACACATCCTTCAGCATGATGTGTGCCCACAGCTGCACAGTATGTAAAATAGTGAGTTACACGTGACAGAGGATGAATACAAATGCATATGAAAAATACTTGCAACGTGAAATAAAAACATATGTGAGATATAAGATGCTAATAATTCACCGTGATGTCACACATCGTCAAAGACTCATTTTGATCCCTGTAGCGCATCAGCTTCGGAGCGGCGGCCGCAGCCACAACTCCGTGATCCAGCGTGCCGCTAACAAGTCGGCGAGTCCTAAGTGAGTGACGTCGTTAAGCTCGAGCAAGCGAACGCGAGACCAAACATGGCGCTGCACGCAGAGTGTCTGCCGCTAGCGAAGTTCGAACAGGAGAGTGAGCGTACACTTGGCCACCGCCACGAACAGCACGGAGCTGGTTTGGAGCTAGCACCGAAGAAATCGACGGTTGTGCGGCCCTTTTCCACAAACTTGAGCAAGTTCCGCGCGCAAACGCGAGTCCGCCGCTGCGGCCAACGGACGGCGCCGAGCTGCTTGCGACCAACTGATGGGGAAGCCAACTGTAATGGCCACAAATTTTCACCGAGTTCCGATGCTAGCGTAAGCCCCACCATGCCGTGCTGGTGCACTTACAGCGCACGACATATAACAACCAAGCTCATTACGAGAACCCGCAACGTGTTTTCGACGACTCCCTAAACAGCGACGAGGTCTTATCCCAATATCGTCAGCCCAGAGCTCATCGCAGCGGCGAAGACAGGTGAGCACTCGATGAGCGAGCGTACGGGAGGCCGACAGCAATGGCGGCCGATTTCCAGGCGGTCGCAAAGCACAGGCGAACTGCAGACGCCGAAGCTGACCTTCGCGGTGCATTTCTGTGTGCGATATATAACATGAGCGAGCCTATTGCCGGCAAGCGCGATCCGTATCGCACACGCGACAAGTAGAGTAGAATAAAGACTAATAACCTACTTGCAAAAGAATCCAGCGCTGACTTCTGTCCTGAGTCGGACTGAAATATCTATTCGATAGGCCTGCCGTCTTCTCGGCCGCCATGTTGGCCTTCCCAACTGTTGCTGTCGTGTGTTGGTCATGACTACCTTGAAGCCAGAGATTTACTGCGCGGCATGGTGACGGGTTCAGACTTGCTCCAGACTTCATGGGTGCAGCGAAACGTAAAAGCAGCAGCCCACGCTGATCCAAGCGTACACACAAGCACCACGTCGCATTTCCTAGATCGTCGAATTCAGGCGGCCGTGGTCGAGCACTCTGAGCGCGACGCAACGCGAACCGTCGCCAGCAAAATACAGGGAAAGACTGAGCCAGGAAAGGAGGACGGCTAGTGACCTTGGTAACGGTCTGCGCGCTGCCTGCATTGCCTGGGCAGTTCAACACTGGAGACTAAGCGGTTTGCACGCGGCCTGCTTCCATCTGTGATTCCTCCTAAAGGGTCTATCCGTTCATTGCGCGCACCTATTGGGCTCCATTACTTCTTTTTCGAATAATTTTGCCTTAAAGTGTAAGGCAAGTAGGCCAAGAAGTCCCAAGCACCGGTGTTTTTCAGTGGTAGAATACTGGCCTGGCACCCAGCGGACCCTGGTTCGAGCCCCACTGCGTCATTGGTGCTAGGCTTGTTTTTCTAATTTTGCACGATTTGATTACGGACACCGGTAGGGGCAGACAACTGCGCATGACCCGACTTGTTATCTTATAAGAGCTTGCACTGTAAAAGGCTCAGAAAGAACGCTCGTTCAGCTTTCACTGTGACAGGCGCAGGCTTGGCATTTTTTTTATTTTTCAAGTACCCGCGGTGTTCTAGGAGGGAGTAACTTGGACTATATATATATATATATATATATATATATATATATATATATATATACCAGATTACCGATCAAATGCCTCCTTCTGCAAAAGAGTATTGAGTTACCGTGAGTGCCTTCCAGCGGGCCACATACCTCTGGAATGTATCCCGACACCCCCTTGGTGCTTAGACTGTCCAAACCTACGCTGACAGTGCCAGGAATCGGCAAAAAGGTGGATCTCTTGACACCAGCTTTGAAGCAGCTCACTCTACATATGCTGCACGAAGGATACAAACACCACGTCAAACTTTATAGGGATAACTCGACAAATGTTAGGGGATCTGCAGGAGCTGTGATCTATCCAGGAAAACCGAAACCACTAAATTTCAAACGTCTCACAAAACAACATCAACAGCCGTAGAGCTCACAGCTTTCCGCTGTGCACTCCGCAGAATTGATCAAGAAGCACCTCTCAAATGGTGCATCTTCACCAATTCGAAACCAGCTCTGTATTGTATTCCAACTGCGCTGCGTTGTGGACGTCAAGACCAATTGGTGCTGGAAACAAGACAACTGCATCAACAAGTACTACAGAAAGGATATAATGTAAGTTTTGAATGGTTATCAGGCCAGAGCAGAATCATTCATAACGAGCATGCCGCCGCTGAAGCGAAGAACGCTCAGGAAAATGGCATGATGGATCCCATTTGACTGTCAAGAAGCGACGCAGCAGCAAGGAGTAATACACTCGCGCACAATGTCACCAGGTCTCTGCGGAACACGCCCGGATTTTCACACACCCGCCTTCACCATCTGGACTCATACCTACGACTTTCCATTGCATCTGGGTTACCCAGATCTGAGAAAACCGTTCTCTGTCGCATGTGGCTTGGGGTGTATTTTACGACCACCTTAGCTTGCCACATCGGATGGGCAGACAGTGCTGCGTGTGATCATTGCAGCGCTGACGAAACCATCGAACATATTTTGAGTCAGTGTCCTCAGCACAGCTCTGTCAGCAGTGTTAGCACGCTTCGACGACCAGCCGCTTTCCAAAAAATAATTTTGGAATACCGGAAAGATCGAGCTTCACGCTAAAAAGCGACGAAGGCTCTCCTGAAGCTTCTGCGATCGACCCGCCTCGTCGAACGTTTGAGAAGTTTACGTGTTATTGTGTGTTTTAGCTTCCGCCTCGATCTCTTTCTCTCATTCCCTTTCCGTTACATTTCTGTCTCCCATTTCCCCTTCCCCAGTGCAGAGTAGCAAACGAAACACTTGCTTTCTGGTTAATCTCCCTGCCTTTCTTCATACCATTTCTCCCTCCCATCTCTCTCTCTCTCTCTCTCTCTCTCTCTCTATATATATATATATATATATATATATATATATATATATATATA